ATTTTGGAAGTTTCCTTTGAATCATCTTGCATCATGGTGAAAATTTTGCTCAAAGTTATGAAAAAATATGAATTTTCCAACACTTAGAAAAATTTCTAAGTTTAGAAATTTTGACTTTTCAAAATGAAATCTTGACTTTTTAATTTCTTGATGAACAAGTTTCATATTTTGACATATTTTGATGAATTGTGATCTTTGATACTTGATTTTGACCAAAAAGTCAAAGTTTGACTTTTCAGTTGCACAATTGACTTTTCATCAGTTGACTGAAATTCAACTGTCAACCAATTGAACTTGAGGAATTTTTTTGATCCATTCCATTAGTTCAAAATGATTCATTTGAATCCTTGATATCATAACTTAAACCAATCAACCATTTACTAGGTCAAAAATCAGAAATTGCACCTTCTGAGTCAAAACCCTAATTTTGACCATTTTGCCCTTTTGATGATCTGATCAAATTTCTTGAGGAATTGTGATCCAAACTTGATCAAATGACATACAAGAGTTTATAATGTTAATATGGACCAAAAATCACGAAGTTTGACTGTAAATTGACCACAGTTGACTTTTTCCCCAATATAGCTGATTTTAGGTCAATTGATCAATTAACTGAGCAAAAATGTGATCCAAGACTTGAAACTTGACATGAGCAATATTGAAGGTCCAAAATGATCCATGAAAGTCATAAGGGGCATTAAAATTCCATTTGTCCTTGTGCAAACTCAAACCCTAATTTTCAGTCATCAGTGCTAGAGGAGGTGTCTTGAGCTGATCAAACCATGTGCAGTCTTGAATCCAAGAAGATCTTGTGGGAGATTATTTGAGAAATGAGAGGGAAAATTTTGGGGTACAACAGTGAGATATCTGAAGATTTATTTCTTAAGACTGTATGTCAAAACATTTAAGAAAATATTTGATTATGTTCTGAAGATTATGTTGCAGATGTCAAAACATTTAAGGAAACAATATATTCTCATTCGAAATATTATACTGGAGATGTTGAAACATTTACGGAAACATTAGATTCTCTTCCAGAATATTTTGTTGAATATTGTATTGGATCAGTTGTTTGTTCAACCTGGTTTGTTCATCAAGCCCATGTTGTTCTCAGGCTATTTAAAAGGAAGACTCTAAACCTAAGAAAGACGACAGAGTTGCATATATGATAATCCACTCATAAGATATTAATCAAGAGTGGATTATGTTCATTAGATTGTGTCTCTTCTTTAATTGTTATCATTGTAATCACGGGTTGTGTGATTAAGAGGAAGTGAAAGGGGTCTCATATCTAGGAGATTCTTAGATAGAAATATCACGAGTAGTGATTTGGTGCGAAGGCGGTAAACTAGAGGTTGTTTACATAAGACTTCAAACTAATACTATTATCGTGGATTTTTTTTCATGGCTTGAATGTCCTTATATGTAGGTGACGTTGCACCGAATTGGGTTCACAATTACCTTGTATTATTTACTTCCTGAAATTTATTTAAAATTGTTTATTGTTCTTTGTGTTTTTACGGTGTCTTGACTTTGCATTCGACATTCTAGTGTCCTGGCATCGTATATGACATATGCTCTCTACGTGCCAGAATTACATTTCTTTATATGTTTATGGTTTCATCGGGTTTCAAATGATGTATTTGTGAGGTATATATGTGTGCAAGTTGGAGGCAAACAGAAATGCAAGAAGCTTAAAAATATCACAAAACTTGGAAAAAATCTGATGAATGTGTCGACCTCTGTAAGTCATGTGTCGACACATTCGATGCATGTGTCGACTTGTATAGGCCATGTGACGACACATGCATTATAGAGCCTACAAGCTTTAAAAATCACCTTCATGTGTCGATCCATACGATGCATGTGTCGACTCATATGTTATCATGTGTCGGCACATTCGATGCATGTGTCGACCTGTATAGGTCATGTGTCGACACATGCATTACAGATCCTACAAGCTTTAAAAATCACCTTCATGTGTCAACTCATATGATGCATGTGTCGACTCATATGTTATCATGTATCGACATATGCATTATAGAGCCAACAGGCTTTAAAATGCAAGTACATGTGTCGACTCATAGGTCGTATGTGTCGACTCATAAGCCTGATTTTTACATAAAATCTAATTTTTTAATGAGAAACTTTATCCAAGATTTTCCAAACCATTTCTAAAACATTTTTATGCTTCCTAATGCTAAGATGCACGTCAAGACTTAGAGAATATCGTTCAATATACATAATTGCTAAAGTATTCTAGATTTGATATCATACAAAATATCTCTAACGGAAAAATGCACTCACATTTCACAAACTTGGAGAGAATCCAGGAGTACAACTGAGGGCATCTTATTTTATATACCTCTACTCGAAGTTAGATGAAGATAGTCAGTGGAAGATGAGACACATGACCACAAGAAAATGTCTATTTTCAGTATTTTTCACTCTTACTGATATTAATTTCATAATACATGTGCTAGATTGTTACAGATATTTCATCTGAACCATTTTTAGGCATGGATCCACTAACATTTTTCACGTCTCTTCAGTTGGGAATATGCTAAAGATTACTCTAAGGAATTGTCGCGTGCCCGCTCCATTTTCCTCTTAGTGGGAATTAGGCGACCGAGTTGTTATGGACTGCACTTGACTATATGACATATGTTTCATGTTGTGTGGTGAACACCGTTAGACACGACCCCTGGAGATGATATTAGGTAATCTGAGTGGTTGACCTGTAGGTCTCGGCATATGTACCCACATCTACTTGCGTGAGTATGCACTTCGAGTATCTGCATGGCATACTCAGGGACCCCACAATTGTTGTTCTTGCAACTATCTTCCATAGAGATTTCAATGCATTATTTGCGAACTACGATGAACATTTGGCGTCAGAGGATGTATGTGGTGTGACAACTCCCCGTCTATTGAGTATATTATACGGTTACATCCAATAGTTTTATAGTGTCTCATTCTTACATGACACCGGATGTAGAAGGAGATCTCCTAGGGCAACTCATGAGAAAATACTAGAGAAGGAATAAACGAGGGTGGGTCATGCCTTAGATATACTGATGATATATATCTCCTTATAGTTACTATTGGGAGAAAGGTCATAACTAAGGACGAGTTTCAAGAAGACATTCCTGAGATAGTCATTATATATGAAATTTTGGTAAAGACACGACATGCATTGTAGTATAAGAGGCAGAGGAGGAACAATTGTGTCAGATATACTGAGTATTTTAATTTGTATTTTGATATTAACATTTTGAGAATTTGTATGGTTTGTTGTATTTATAAACAATAATGTATGATTTGTCAAGATTTTGTTTGACAATTAAATCTTATTAATTAATGACTAATGTGTATGATTTATTGATAATAAAAAAAAATTAAAGTTATGTCAGTGAGTACATGATATTGTCTTGGGATTTGTTAGGATTTTGAAAGTTGGATTCATTCCATTTTAACCATACTGTGATGAAACACAAACCCAAGACAATGTTTGAGATTTATCTAGAGATTGAAATCCAGATTTTAATAGAATTTTGGAATGTTTTTTTGGCAAAAATAGAAGTTTTTTTTTTATAAAATTATTTTATTATAAATGATTGCATCTGAATTTCAATCTTCCAACATTACAAAAGGTAATTTTGGATTTTCATATGATCTTTGAGTATCACATTAGTGTAGTGATCACATCCCTCGCCTTTTAGCAGATCCCCCACTTTACTTCATATATGGCCCCCTCAAATCTTCACCTTCAACATCATGATTGTTTCACCAACTCCAAAGACTCTTTGTAGCCTTATCTCCCCTGCTATGTCCACTGATAACCCCTTTTAGAACCCGGTTCCCTGGAATTCCCGAATGCTAGGACCTAGTTGTGTTGGATAGGTAGTGGTTTTTCAAGAACAACAAGCTCAGTAAGCAACTAACTCAAGATTATATAAGCTTCCTGCCAGATCTTAACCTTCTTCTACCCAGCTTCTACTTGTTGTTCAATGTTGTATTGAGATAAGTTTGTCAAACGTGCTAAAAAAATGGTACAAAAGAGCAAAAAAGGTAGTGGAGAACCATTTGATGGAAGATCATTTATCCAATACATGAAATAAAGAATGAGAAGTTTTTACATGGAAGATCAAACTCCCAAGGCCAGTGGAAATGTAACGAGATGCCTTCATAGGGAATAGTTTTTTTCGCCCTCCTGCTAAACCACCTGATTAGAATATAGTAATATCCGATGAATTTTAGGTGTCAAGAGCACTTCTGGTGTTTAAAGTTGTAATTTTGTTATTGCACTAACTGTACATTTTATCTCCATAGTGGGTAGTTTGTCTACTCTTGGAGTACTGTCTATGGCGTTTTAGCCAATTGAATGAAAATAATATTGAATCTTTGACAAAAAAAGAAGATACGTTTAATGCAACAACAAAAATTAGAATACTTTTTTTCAATCTGAACAACAAGAATAAGAAAACACACAATACTACTAATTCGGAGTACCAATTTTTATGAATAAAACAATCGACAATGCTGTATATCAGCGTATATTAGTCTCAGTTTACTCATATTTGAGTTTACTCATATTTGAGGACTGACAAGAGCCAAACAAAATGGAACAGAAATGAAAAGATGAAAACTAAAATTTATGTAGATAATTTTAAAATATTACAACTGAAATTTATATAGATAATTTTGGAATATTACAACACAGGTTTTCGAGAGAGAGCCTGTCTCTATACAATTTAAATACTTCTATTTATACTGCATTTAACATTTGTTCTTAATTGGCACAATTAATCTGAAGGGTTGTGACTGTTAGATTTCATGCTGTTTGGTTCCAAGGGTTGCATCCTTTCAGGTGGGTGTGTTTGTTCACCAAGGGTCACGTCCCCTGATTCGCATTTCTTGAGCCTGCACTCCTTGGACATCGCTTCCTGCGGGTGTAAAACTTGGTGATGGGTGGCCTAGGCTTATCAAGGACATACAGTTCAACGGGTCAAGTTCTCACAAAATCGATCCAATTCTTCAAATGTAAACCAATCTTTTTTCATCTGCATCATGCCAATAGCAAACAAAACTAAATCGAAATGTGTGTTTTCATAAATAATTTTCAAAAACAGCTCAAGAGAAAACTTACAAAGTAAGGATACCCCTCCATGCTAAATTTATCAGGAGCGAGTTCCAAAAACAATTTAATGAAATAAAGGACAAAGTTCCCGCATTCAGTACCATCTTTTTGTTGTGGCACCTACAATATAGTAGTAATTAGTCTTCTTTTAACCTTTAGTGATTGGGTTACATAGAGGTGAAAATCATAAAAGGGGCCATTATCACCTTGGGCACTAATAATGGGATTTGAGATATCAGATGCTTAGTCTCTGGCCTGTCCCCCGTTTTATAAATGTCTTGTACAAATCTGCAAATGATGATAAAAGCTGGTAACATATAAATACTTTGACAGGACACAAATGTCTGATCAAAATAAGTAGATATTGTTGAATGAGGCGCACCTTCTTATCTCTGGTTCAAGCCGCCTTGGATTGGCCATTTCAAGAGAATCCAGTAACAGCATACAACGTGATTCGGTAACAGATTGCAAGTTCTCACCAAAATGGCAGAAGATAAGGAGGTTCCAATGACCCCTGCAAAATTGTGATTTCAAAGGATAAACTCAATGGATTGACATTTAACAAATAAAAAACTCATAGTTGTTAAAGGAATTTGAATGCGTTTACCAGCAGACTATAGGCACAAAAACATACGCCTTTGTGAAAATACGTTCTTTATTAATCCAACTCAGCACCTTATCTTTAGTTGAAGCATTCCTGTAAAGGCTAAACCATAAACTGTCCAAGTACGCAAATGACATTTTCCTATCTTTTGAGAAACTCTTCCATATTTTCCTGTCAGATAAATCATATTTATATTTAGAAACAAGCCCGTGATTTTGATGTTGCTTTTTTTCCATCACAAATCATTGGACAGTGAGTCATTAGACTGCAACTTACGCTAAGTAATTGTCAAAGACTTGACTGTTTAGCTTTTCCTTGGATCTTGAGAGAGCTTCACCGCCTTTGAATTTTCGCTTGCATTTTGTCCGCGGTCGCCGAGGAATACTCTTTGAATTTAATTGAAAAATTGAATCAACACTTCCTACTGCACCTCCATGTCTCGAGTCAATTTCTCCTTCCTGATTCGCAAAATGGACTGATAAGAACAATGACAGACATAATCAACTTCTCTGATTGCCTCCCAAGTTTTAATGAACTTCTCAAAAGACATAATCAATTTCTCATATAAATGTGTCCAAACATAAATCAATTGTAGTAAACTCAATTTTGTCCAACACGAATCCAAACACACCCTTACTTTAACATACAAAGAAATTTCTAGTGTTATGCAAACATGACAGTGAAGGCACAGAAAGAAGGTATTATATCCCCAACAAAGCTGTCGTCATCACACAAATAAGTAGAATGACATAAACCTAACCTTGGGGGTCAATCTCTATCACCTCTTTTACGGTCTTGGTTTTCTTTCTCCGGCGGCAAGAATAAACTAAATCGGATACACATGCCAAGACAATTTCTCTTTTTTGGTTCACAGAATTCACTGATAAGAACAATCATAGACATATGTCAAAAAATAAACATTGAAAAAATCTCAATTTTCTGCAAGATCTGTCGTTTTAAGTTTTCACAAATAACTCTACAAACTGTCATAGGTTAAAGCAAAGACAAACTCTACCTAAGTCAAACACCATGCCCTAACAGTACTGTAACAATTAAGAATCCAGCCAGAAAAAACTACAATTTCACAAAATTGTTGATATACACAATATGGAAATATCAATTATTTATACAAGTTAAAAAAAATCAAAAAAAAATTGTAGTGATCGACAGTAGAAATTAAAAAGTGAAGGAGGAAGTTAGTAGTACTGTGTTTTGGATCGGAGCTATAGTGTTGTGCGTTGGGCAGTGAGTTGTTGAGTTCAGTGATACTCCAATCTGATTTTCATGATTATTAAGCTAATACAGTACTTTACTAGTAGAGCCTTTAATTTCTGACCTACCCGGGCACCGGTTAAGAATTTCAAGAGGGAAAATTAATCATCACTAATTATTGTAAGGTTGAAAATGTAATATTTAACATTGGTTTAATAAAACGATTTTCAATTTGATTCTTAAAATATCAATTTTTAATCTGTTTAATTTTTAAATTGTTAAAATTTATTAAAAGATATTTAATTTTTTTTTATTTTACAGTTTCTTTTGACCTATTATTTAAAGAGATTAATTAGTATGCACTATAAATGTAAAATGTTTTATATTATCGATGTATCACAACTATTCATAAGCGGTATTCCACATGTGATTAGAGGAAATCTGAAATCTACATAGTAAGCATGAGTCATGTAAGGATGGAATATTTTCTTAAGACATACCAAAAACACGGACATGTACACAACTCCTCAAGCATGAGTCTTGTAAGAGCAAAGTGTTTTTCTAAGGCTAACCAAAAAATTCGAATATGTACATAGCCCCTCAAAAATGAGTCGTGTAAGGGTGAAGTGTTTTCTTTAGACATATTAAGGATTTTCTGATGCACCTTAACAAACAATCCTTATTGGGTGAATATGCCTTAGTTTTTTCAGACGTGGTAGACTTTGATCGTGTTCATCTAACATTTATCGGGCCACAAAGAACATTCATATCCATGAGACTAGTTTATCCAACCCCACTATGATAATATTAGACGTTCTCATAATACTTCAGGCAAGTCCTTAATACTTTAGGTTGCAACACGACTTACTCTCCTAATCTGTGTTTTTATTGTTATATTAAAGTCTCTTAGTTCAAAATGAGATTAAAAGTACATATTTCCTCAAGCATGAGGCGCATAGGAGAAAGTGTTTTTAGTGAAATCAATCCTCCTTCAAATGCATATTTCCCCTTATAGTCAGGTTTTTAACTGTTTGAGTAAATTCGCCTTATTGTTAGGGCCTTTTTGTAATTTCTAAACTTCCTCATTATTGAATTTTAGTATTGTTCTATCTTTGTTTTTCATTCTTTTGTCAAAATGCATCTTGGGTTTATTTTGCATGTGTTTTTATCGAAGTAGATGAATGATCTAATTAAAAATTGTAGTGTCATATTTGGCAAAAGTCCTAGATTAAGGCGTCCATCACATAACAAATGGGTCATCCGGGAGAAATCCAAAGGAGTCGCACATGCGGCCCGTCCAACGTAGGAGTTAAATAAGAAAAAGTCATTGTTGACTCTAAAAATATAGTGGGTCAATGATCTTCTGGATAAAGGGAGCGGTTAAGACCACATTTAGGGAGTCATAAACCCTAGGTCTGGGAAAACCCCTATAAATACATTATCCCTCAAGGGGATAAACACCATTACACAATACTACTCATAGAGCACTCTACTCCGAGTAACTCTAACAACATCACTCTATCTTCCCGCCTGCAACCTAGTAGCGCCAGCCACCAGCAGAACCTCTCACCTCATATGAAATGGTCCCTTAAACAGCCTCAAAAACCAACGTACAGGGCTACCCGTCATCGTGTGTAACGCCCCATTTGAATATTTAGTCGTTATTTGTTGACTTTGATTTACTTTGTCATAATTAAGGGTAGGTAAGCATGGCTAAGGGTATGTGAGAGCTTAGTTTTAATTAGAAAATTAGAATAAAAATTAGTCAATGGTGTAGAATAATAATAATAATAATAATAATAATAATAATAATAATAATAATATTGGTGAATATTGAAATATATTATTATTATTATTATTATTATTATTATTAATGAAAATATTATTAGATATATGGTATAATACCACTAATAACATAAGTATTAGTAATAATATAGTTATTATTATTATTATTATTATTATTATTATTATTATTATTATTATTATTATTATTATTATTATTATTATTATTATTATTATTATTATTATTATTATTATTTAACTAGAATAAAATAATTATTAGAGTAATAGTAGGAACATTTGGGGAAAAAAGCTATTGTCACGTAGAAACAAAGAAAAAAGAAGAGAAGGAAAAGTTAGGGCAAGAGAGATTTCACCATTGTTAAAGGTTCAAAGCTCTAAACTAAGGTAAGGGGGGAGAATGATTCTCTGAATGGTGACTCTAACATGAGAGGGTAGTGAGGGTTCCTTTCCCTCTTTAGGTTATGTGCAAAATTGATGAATGTTCTTCTTTGTTTGAATTTTCTGTTGTTTCTATGTGATTTTGTATGGAATTCGTGATTACAATGATGCTATAAATGTATTGTTGTTGATGAATTTACTGTTGTGATGTTGTTCCATGAAATCCCAAATCTGAAAAATTATAGATCTAGAAAGATGATGAAAAATTGAGAGTTTAGATGTAGGAATTCGTTGCAGAATGATGGATTAATGAAATTATATTGATACTATAAGTTATTATGTGTAGAAATATTGTTTTGGACCCAAAATTTGAGGTTGAAAGTGCTCAAAATGAGTAGAAAGCAAATTGGTGCAAATGCAAAAAATTATGGAATAACAGACTGGCCATACGCGTATGGTACGCGTATAGGGGACGTTCCCAGGGGCCATATATGTACGGTACGCGCCCTGTCCCCGTGCCATTACAGCCAACTACCTGAACGCATATGGTACGTGTATGAGAAGGACATACGCGTATGGACTAGCCAATACGCATATGGAGATTTGGGATGAGTTTTAGGGGAAAATTTCCCTCTGGTCGTACGCATATGGTACGTGTATGAGGTTGTGTGCTGGAGCAGTATGTGTATGGTACACGTACGAGATGTGCGGGAAGAGATTCAAACGCGCATGGTACGCATATGGGCAGGCTGAAGTGCAGAAATTCCCGCTTTTGTGATTTCTTTCCCGTTTTTACATGCAATGTAGTTTCTTTTGACCCGTGATGAATGTTATGACTTAAGTATTTATAAGAAGGCTAGAAATAATTAATATTGGGTTAAAATATGAATTTGTATGTTGCATAAAGATGATAATGTTGGTGGCCTTATTGGAAAATGATTAAGGCTTATGCCTTGTGGTTGCATAGCTGTGGTGTTACATGTTGATGATGCATGCATTCATTGGTGAGGGTCTATGCCCTATTGTTGGTCTGTAATGGTGTTATGTTGAGGGCTTATGCCCTGTTGTTGCCATATTTAACATTTTGTAGAGGGCTTACGCCCTGATGGTACCATATACATTTAGTTGCTATCGGTTGCATTACATTGCACTATCTTGATTTGATGTTGTGTTATATGAATGAAGAATGTGTTGTGAAGCATTGCGTGAAATATGTATTTTGTGAATTATGTGATTTTGTGAATTACTACTCATTAGCATGTGACATTCACCGTATATTTATTGAATGTAATTCTCACTCATTTTCCGTTGTTGTGTCTGTGCTCCTCGAGAGTACAGATAACCAGGTACCAGAGTAGTGCTTAGAGTGAGTGTTGTTTGATCGAGTCTTAGGAGTCACTCTAATACGTAACACGGGATTTAGAAATTTTTTTATGTTTTTACATTATTTTTATTCTTTACGTATCTTAATTCATAATTATGTTGGACCACACATTTTATGGAGCTTTATTATTGTTGAGGCCTCAATGCCATGGAAGTGAATTAAATTTTGAATTGTTTCGCTGCTTAGTTGATTACTATGAATAAATGAAGTAATAAAGTGATTTGAAACTTTATGAATTTTTGAAATATGTGACACCCCAATTGTCGACTCTGATTATTCTGTATATTTTATTATAGTTATTGTTATATGGAAATGGGGTGTTATAATTGGTATCAGAGTAGGTCGGTCCATCCGGCCAAGTTATTGAGTCTAATATAATGTGACTGTTGAATACTGTCAATGTATTTCTTCTAACCATTGTTTGATGTTATGATGTGAAACAGAGTAATGGATGGGAGAAACGATACTGCTCTTGCTGCTACTTTGTAGGATTTGGCTCAGGCCGTGCAACATCAGCCTAATGTTGGCGGGAATGATTGATCTCGTGTTTTGGAGACTGTTGTACCCCAAAATTTTCCCTCTTATTTTATCAAGATTTCCCCTCACAAGACTCTTTGGACTCCAGACAGGATTAGGGTTTGCTATGCTCAAGACATCACCTTGCACTGATGACCTGAAATTAGGGTTTGAGTTTGCACAAAGATTTTTGTACTTTCAATGCCTCATGTGACTTTCATACTTCATGATGGACCTCTAGGATTTCCCATACCAAGTTTCAAGCTTTGAATCAAATTTTTGCCCAGTCAATTGGACAGTTAACCTAAAAATCAACTGTATTGGGGAAAAAGTCAACTATGGCCAATTTATAGTCAAATCTCATAATTTTTTATCCACATCAACATTATAGACTCATATGAATCATTTGATCAAACTGAAACCACAACTCCTCAAGAAATTTGATCAGATCATCAAAAGGGCAAAATGGTCATTTTTAGGGTTTTGACTGCAGAAGGACAATTTCTGATTTTTCACCTAGCCAATGGAAAATTGGGTTCAAGCATGGATTCAAGGACTCAATGGCATCATCTTTACCTAATCACAAGGTTCAAAAGATCTCAAATGCATTGGATTGATAGATGAATTTTCCAGTCAACTGATCAAAAATCAATTGTACACTAAAAAGTCAAACTTTGACTTTTTGGTCAAAATCAAGTGCCAAGGGTCATTTTTCATCAAGATGTGTCAAAACATGAA